GTGAGTCGCGCATCTCGGACTTTTCCCTCCCTCCGGCAGGCCCCACGGGGTCCCGGCAGGGATGGTGTGCCGGGCGGGCCTCCACCCCAGCGCCTGCCCGCCTGTCATTGCCCTGCGCAGACACTTCCCCTTTATCCGGGGGCCATTCTTCCCGCAGACAAACCTCTCCTGCCCCAAGCGCGGGGTTTGGGCAGAAGGGGTCCTGGAGGTGATGGCAGTGCGGGGCAGGGATCTCCTGTCCACCTCTGTAGACACCGCCCACGACGTGCCAGGCGCTGGACACCAAAGAATGAAGCTGGCACTTCTCCCACGGTGCCAGGCGCGCTTGCAATCATCTCATTGAATTCCAGAAACGACCCGTTTGACAGACAGGAAAACAAGTTCAGAGAGGTCGAGTAATTTGCCCAGGTCACACAGGTCCTAGATCTTGGATTACCATATCTCCTCACCACTCCGGGCAGCTTCCAAACTCATAAACAGTTTCAATGCAAGGTGGTGAACAGGAATGACCGGAGCACCAGGCAAGAGGGGTCAGCTCTGCCAGGGGTGGGAGGTGAGAGTTGGGAGTGGGGGCAGGATTATGTAAACCGAACCTCAAAGGGTGTGGGGAAGGGAAAGCAGTTGCCTTTGGCTGTCAGGGACTGTATGCTCAAGGCGAGCCTCCTAATAGGGTCCATATAAACACTGGTAGAACAAAAAAAACATTTTTTTCAATTTTTTAAATTGTAAAATGTTGGGACTTACCTGGCAGTCCATGGTTAAGACCCCGCTTCCACTGCAGGGGGTACAGGTTCCATCCCTGGTCGGGGAAACCAAGATCCCAGATCCCGCATGCCATGTGGACAGGCCAAAAAAAAAAGTTTAAATACATAGGAAAATTTAAAGAGTAAAATGAACACCCACTTACTCTCCATCTAGATTTAACAATCAGAATAATGTGTACTGCACTTTATAACTTATAAACACTCTTGCTTAAGGTTACCATAGTGCAAACAAAGCTCTCATTTGGTAAGCCGATTGGAGACCTATTCTGACACCACTACTGCATCACCTGGGACAGGTCAAAGCCACCCACCGCAACCTTTGGGAAGTTGGCTTCCTCTCCCTGCTTTCCCATTCTGCTCAGGAGGTCGGAGGTTGTCCCTGAATTTGGTTCACCCTCAGAGACCACAGTTACAGTATGTTTCTCAGAGGGAAGTTCATTGCCTGGAAATTCACTTTGAACTTGAATGGTTAGCCTCTCAAAGTCTCAGATTTCTCCCTTAAAATTCAATATACTGGTGGGTGAGGCAGAGTTTGGGTCACAGTGGGATCCATTATTTTCAGTTCCAGGTTAACACAGGAACTCTTCCACGATCTTCTCAACAGGTCTTTCCATTCTCTTAATAAGAGATATGTATTATATTCAAATACAGTAAACCTCCTTTATCATGATGGTTGCAGGGACAGGACTGAAATCAGCTTTGAAGCTAAGCTAATTATAAAATACTTTTTTTAAACTATCTTTTTTATTATAAAAGTAATACATATTGATTTTTAAATCCCAAAATGATTAAAAAAAATGAATGTTGTAGAAAGTGATACCCCTGATGACCAGGAATGGAGAAAAGATCCGGGTGTCTGAGCTGTGCATCACTTAGGAGGAGAGCAAAAGTTGGACCCTTTGCAGCAGTTGCATTGGTTTTAGATTTGTCATGTCCCCAAATAAAGGCACAGAGGTACAGGACTGAAAGCTGCTTTGAAGGTTACAGAGGTATAGTCACAGAGGTACAAGAAAGAAGAGTTCATCAACAATCCATTTTACTTGTTAAATCAAACATTTAAAATGCATCCCAAGGACTATAATCCTATTTTCACATTTCTTCATTTTAAATCACCGGAACCTCAAAAAATGGAAGCTCTGTGAACCTCTCTTGACCTAGAAAGGCCTCAGTGGCAACAAAACACTGCCTTTCAAGAAGTCCCTGCTTCAGAATTGCCCCTGTTGCAAAAAGTGTCGCTGGAATTGCAAAATATCCTGCTGTAGACTGGAAAGCCCCACTTCCTACCCGATTCTGTCATAGCTGCCTTAGTCTTAGCTTAGAGGAGTTTCCTGGCCAGACAAGATGGTGTCAGAGATCCCAGGAACACGAAGGATGCTTTGTGGCATTGCACGATTTCATCATTTCTGTCTCAGCAGTGGGAGACTGCCTTCCGGAATCTTGTACAGGTCCTGGTCCCAGAGAAACCCCAGTTAAAACCCTTCTGGCCCAACCTGAGAATTTCACACATCTGACATTTGCACCATAAAAGTGCATTTGGGTTCATTCATTTTTTAGGGAAGTTGTTGGGTTTGGGTATTATTTTCTCACCAGGATCCAGAAAACTGGATGCTGTCAGCTGTTAAACCCCAAACACTTAATACTCTGTAAGATACAAAGCCCATGGACCAGTCGGAAGCCTTGATCCCCGGTTGGTCATACAGAGTGGCTGTTTGTTCAGCTTGGCATCAGAATGCTGTCACTGACCTGTGGGAATGGTCAGCATGGCCCATTTTGAGCCTCGTTGGTCGCTGAAAAGGTGACATCTACAGTTAGTGGTGAATAGTAAAATAAAGTACCATCATGCAAGGAGACAATACTGCAAAGTGGTTAGTAGAGTGAGTTTGAGCCCTGGCTCTGGGCAAGTCTCTAAGCCACTAATCCCAGCTGTAAATGGAGATGATGAATCCTGCACTGAAGGGATACTGCAGAGATTTTAGCACGCACGCTTTCTCTAGTTGCAGCGAGCTACTCTTCGTCAAGGTGCGTGGGCTTCCCTTGCTGCGGAGTACGGGGCTCTAGGCGCCTGGGCTTCAGTAGTTGTGGCGCACGGGCTTAGTTGCTCCACAGCATGTGGGATTTTCCCGGGCCAGGGCTTGAACCCGTGTCCCCTGCATTGGCAGGAGGATTCTTAACCACTACACCACCAGGGAAGCCCTCAAAAACATTAATGTCTTGAAAGAATTTTAAAAGGTGAGGGGAATGTGAAAGTGTTCTAGATAAAAGGAGACTACAGGGATATGGCAACTAAAGGCAATGCAGGATCTCTGATTGGATCCTGGATTGGGACAGAAAAAAAGCTATCAAAGACATTATCAGGACAATTGGGGAATTTGATTATGGAAAGCTTGTAGTATTGTAACAACATTAAATTTCCTGAGTGTGATAATACTACTGTGATTATTTAAAATAATATCCTTGGGAATTCCCTGGCGGTCCAGTGCCCTTTGGCGCTTTCACTGCAGAGGGTCCGGGTTCAATTCCTGGTCGGGAAATTAAGATCTGACAAGCTGCGTGGGGGCAGCCAAAAGTAAATAAATAAATAAAATTTAAATAATAAAATAATATCCTTGTATCCTCATTCGTAGTATTTAGGATAGCTAGGGTATTTGAAGTGATATCTGATATGTTCTCAATTTATTACAAAATGCTTCAAAAAAAACAAAAGTGTGCATGTGTGAGAGAGAAAGAATCACCAAACATGAAATGTAAACGGTTGCTGAACCTAGGTAAAGGGTATAGGGGCTTCCCTGGTGGCGCAGTGCTTGAGAGTCCGCCTGCCGATGCAGGAGACGCGGGTTCGTGCCCCGTTTCGGGAAGATCCCACATGCCGCGGAGCGGCTGGGCCCGTGAGCCATGGCCGCTGAGCCTGCGCGTCCGGAGCCTGTGCTCCGCAAATGGGAGAGGCCACAACAGTGAGAGGCCCGCATAACTCCAGAAAAAAAAAAAAAAAAAAGGGTATATAAGTGTTCATTGTACTATGCTCTCAAATTTTCTGTGGATTTGAAACTTTTTTTTTCCAGAACGCGGGCCTCTCACTGTTGCGGCCCCTCCCACTGCGGAGCACAGGCTCCGAACACGCAGGCCCAGCGGCCATGGCTCACGGGCCCAGCTGCTCCGTGGCATGTGGGATCCTCCTGGACCGGGGCTCGAACCCACGTCCCCTGCCTTGGCAGGCGGACTCCCAACCACACTGTGCCACCAGGGAAGCCCTGAAATTTTTTGAAGCAAAAAGTTGAGGATAAAAATCAATGTAGCAGAAAGACACAGCCATTAACGGAGGAAGCAGTCAGCTCCCCCCATACAAACTCCATTAGCTTTGGAGCCACCGCTGGGGCCCCATACTGGGCTGCAAGCCCTAAGAACAACTATGCCTTTTTCACCCTTGTTTCTCCAGCATCCTGGTCCAGAACATGTGTTCAGTACACGTGCATGCATGACACCCTCCCTCCGGAGTCTGCTCCCAGGAAGCCACGGCAGAGTTAGCACTGGGACAAATAAATCAGGATGGTGGTCCCAGGCGTTGCGTTTCGAGGGCTTCGTGTTGCTGGAAGAACCAGACAACTGGAACTACATCAACAGGGGCGACCCCAGGGCTTGTCTCCTGGTGGTGCCCTTCTGGCCTCACCTGCCTTCTTGGGCAGGGAGGGGCAGAGCTTGCAGGGCTGTATTTGCTGCTCCTCATCCCCCTGTCATTGGCTCCAGAGGGTCAATAAAACCCCAAGAGTCTGGAGGAGAGCAGTTGGCCAGAGGGGCTGACCCTCATCATGGTTCTCTCCAGCATGGGACCAGGGGCTCTGTTCCCCCCACTCCCACCCCCGTATTCTGGGAGGGGAGAGGGAAGCATCTGACTGCCTGCCCGAAGATCCAGAATCTGGAATCCAATCCCAGACCCTTCCTCAAAGACTCATCCATCACTATGCAGTCCAGCCCAAGTCAGTGAGAGCTGGGTGCTGACGACCACGTGTCTGACAAGACATTGAGTCCTCCCAGCTAGAAAAGCCTCTGAATCTGTAAGAAAGAGAATACGAACCAACAATGACATACTCACAGCCTTACTCTCAGTTCCCACCAAAACACAGACCATTTCCTGTGCCTTTTCCGTTATTTCACAAGCTGCTTCTTAGTCTCCCTCTGGGCTCCAGGACAGACAGCTGTTTCTCCCCTCAGAAGCCAGACAGTTGCCTCCAGTCTCTCCTGATCAATGCCATGGCCAAGACCCGTAGTGACCATCTGCTGTACTCCCTGGAAGAGCTGGTGCCCTATGACTTTGAGAAGTTCAAGTTCAAGCTGCAGAACACCAGCCTGGAGAAGGAGCACTCCCGGATTCCCCGGGGCCAACTCCAGACAGCCAAGCCAGTGAAGCTGGCCACTCTGCTGGTCACCCACTATGGGGAGGAGGACGCCGTGCGGCTGACCCTGCAGGTCCTGAGGGCCATCAACCAGCACCTTCTGGCAGAGGAGCTCAACAGTGCAGTTGGCCCAGGTAAGCGGCCCCACGCGCCCTCCTCTCCCACTGCGACTGCTGGCTGTTTGCAGAGTGGGGTGGAAGGTACAAGAGGGACCAATTCGGCCAGTGCGTCCTAACTTGGGGGTTAGGAGTCCGAGGTCTGCAACAACCCCGGTGACTTTAACCAAGCAAGTCCTTTCCCCCTCTCTGGTCTTGGAAGCTGGAGTAAAGCTAAGGCTCTCAATGGCTTTTTAAAAAAAAAACCCAGAAGCATGAGGTTCTGACTATGGGGCAGGATCAGGAAAGGCAGGAGCTGGATGTCTGTTGGTAGAGAATTCCTCACTTCATTTGTCATTAACTTACCTACAGATGAGTATCTTTGGGTGAGCCAGAAACTAACCACTCCTGTCAAGAGGGTTGATGGGTAATCTCATTGTTATCCACCTCATTTCAGTTTTGAGTTCTTCTCTAACACGTTACAGAGATATTTTAAAATTCTAAAAGGACTTTCTCCTTTTCTTTTCCTTCCTTCCTTTCCTCTTGTCTTTCTTTCTCTCCTTCCTTCTCTCTCTCCCTTTTCCTTTTTTCCTTCCTTATCCTTCTTCTGCTACTCTTGCCGTAACTTTCTGATTTTATTACATTGTGATCAAAGACTGTGGCCTATTTGATTTCCGCTTTTAAAGACTTTTTTTGGAGATCTGGGGTGGAGGGGCTAATCTGTGATCAGTTTAAAAAACTATTTTTTTTTTTTTTTTTTTTTTGCGATATGTGGGCCTCTCACTGTCGTGGCCTTTCCCGTTGCCGGATGCGCAAGCTCAGCGCCCATGGCTCACGGGCCCAGCCGCTCCGCGGCATGTGGGATCCTCCCGGACCGGGGCACGAACCCGTATCCCCTGCACCGGCAGGCGGACTCTCAACCACTGCGCCACCAGGGAGGCCCTAAAAAACTATTTTTTGATGTTTGAAATTTTCTTCTATTTCTAGACTTTAAGAATACATTAGGAATGCTTTCCATGTGCTTCTATGAGGTAGAAGAGTTTATATAACCTAAAAATCCTCTGCTCTTTGAAAGAGTGATAAAGCTAAACTGTAATCTGAGTCTGGTGTAATTTGATGAGTAGAATTTTAAAATTAATTTTTTGTATTTTAAAATCTGGTTATTCATCTCTTCAGGGTTTCTTACCAGTTCTTGAGCCAGTTTTCATAACATATTTTCCCTAGAAAGCCAGTAGCAAAGTGTTTTAAGCAACTTTAATTTTAATAAGGGCTTTTCAAACCAAAAATTAAGGTGCTAATTATAGGTTATTTTCATTTCTTTATTAAAGTAGTGGTTTTCAAATTGTATCCCAGGAAGACATTTCAGGGATTCTTTAGAATGTTAGCAAATACTTGATTCAAATTTTATTAATTAACTTACAAAACTAACAAATTCATATTAAAATGAGTGATTAACCAAATTTTAAAATATTGGAGGCCATCAGTGTGACAGTTCATGCTTGAACTCCTTTTTATGGAGACCTTGGAATTCAGCCCTTCCTGTCATTTCTGTTTAATTAAACATTGTTCTGAAATTTCCAGGCAAGCTGTCTTTTAAAAAAAGTTACCATTGGGCTTCCCTGGTAGCGCAGTGGTTGAGAGTCTGCCTGCCGATGCAGGGGACACAGGTTTGTGCCCCGGTCCGGGAAGATCCCACATGCTGCGGAGCGGCTGGGCCTGTGAGCCATGGCTGCTGAGCCTGCGCGTCCGGAGCCTGTGCTCCGCAACGGTAGAGGCCACAACAGTGAGAGGCCTGCGTACCGCAAAAAAAAAAAAAAAAATTACCATTTACACTTATCTGTGTGTTAGGATTTTCTTCACTTCATGAAACCAAAGGGGGGAAAAAAACCAAAATAAATTAGTTTCTGAAGTTTTAACTGTCCTTCATGACCCCGATTTCAATTTTTTGTGCTGATCTTTATTGACTGATAAGTGAGTTTTGTAGATCTGTAAATCGCACACAAATGTACACCCATAAACTAGGGTTTTCACTTATATATTAAGAATTCTATGTAAGACCTTATATTGGAAACAAGTTCTCCTGCCTAAAAAGTTTGAAAAGCACTATTTCAGAAATAAGATAGCAGATAATTAGTATGTTCTTATTTAATGGTAATTGACTGCTGTTGTCTAGAATGTCCTGAACTTCTCTAATTTCCAAAGGGATTCTGTCTTCTCTCCCTTCCCCCAAACCTTGAACCTGAGCACTGGACATTTTCATGCCTTTCCATCTCATTGTCTTTTCAGGGTGTCAGGTAAAAGAAAGTGACACAGACAGTTCAGCAATGTCTGGTTCCTCTGGGGAGATTAAGCCCAAGAGTCTGAAGATACCAGATGGCCTGGAAGGTGACAAGCAGAGACAAAGTGGTGATGGGGCTGGCTGCCCACCATCCATCCAGTCCGAGGCTGGAAGGGGGCCCCAGAAGAAGCCTCTGGGCAAACGGAGAGATCAGAAAGGCTCTGAGGGCCTGGATGTGCAGGGCAAGCCAGGGGCCAGGAACACAACTCTGTCTTCCAAGAGAAGCCCCTTTCCCATCAAGCCACAGGGGGAGAAGGGGAGCAATGTGGGGGTCAGGCTGCGCAGGAACGCCAGCTCTGCAGGAAGGCTCCAAGGACTCTCCAGTGGGTCGTTTGCTGGGTCCCTGGGAAGGAAAGAATTTAAGATATCTGAAGCATATTTACCTTCAGGAAAGAAGCGACCCAAAAGTCTTGAATTTACCATTTCTTCAGGAGAGACAGAACCTCTCAACCCTGAAACTCTTTTGCTTCAAGAGAAAATGAGAAGTGAGAATCCAGGCTCAGCAGCCACTCTGAACACAGGGGCTACTGTGGCTGCAGAGAAAGGATCCAGGAATCCAGAACACGCCATGACTCTGGAGGGGGTAGCACTCAGGAATACACTTTCCAGTGTATCATTGGCTGGAAAGAAGATCTGGGAGCATCCAGAGTCCACAGTACCTGCAGAGAAGAGTGGAACTGAGGCTCCAAAGACCTCTAAGACCTTGGAGGAGGTGGTAGGTGGTATGCTCCATGATCCTTCAAATCCAGAAGTCCCTCCATCTTCAGGTAAGAAAGGACCTCAGAATCCAGAAGACCTGGCATCCTTAGGAATGATGACCTTTGCAGGTTTCCCCCTGCAAACCTGCTTTTATCCCCGCTGTATTCATTTCACTGGATCTCTGGGTCCCCCTTGAGGTCCTCCACCCTTTGAGAATCTGATGTAGGCTCTGATTCCTGAAAAATGCATATCTGCACATTTTCATAAAATGTTGCATACATTTCAGTTAGTTAGTTCTTAGACACTCTGAAGTCCTTCTTTAGAGTTCCCAAGGGCTTCATGGACCCCAGGTTGAACATTTGAGAAAGACTGGGTACAAATATCACCTTCTCACAATACCTCATGGCAGTATATCATGGGGCTGCAATTCTGCTATTTGCCTCTGTCTGGGCAGGGAGGGAGCTGTTGGCTAAAGTCCTAGGTCTCTTTTACTAAAGAGGCAGAAATTAGAATGGTGATGGGTTGTGAATGACAGAAACGCCAAAATAACATAACTGAAACAAGATAGACGTTTGTTCCTCTTTCACATAAATGACACACAGGAGGTCCAGGACAAATGTGGTACACCATGGTCAGGAACCCAAGCTCCTGCTGCTTTTCTGCTCTATGGAGTTTGCTTTCAAGGTCGTGGTCTCAGATGGTGGCATCCTCATTCCAGGCAGCAGGATGGAGGGACAAAGGAGAATAGTATCACTTAGGGAAGGTTTTCGGAAGTTTCTAGATGCTGCTCGTGATGCCTCCATTTACTTCCTCTTGGCCAGAATGTACAGGCACGTCGTGGGTTTGGTTCCAGACCACTGCAATAAATATTGCAGTAAAGCAAGTCACATGAATTTTCTGGTTTCCCGGTGCATATGTTTATACTATGCTATCATCTATATTAAGTGTGCAATAGCATTATGTCTAAAAAGAAAAATGTACCTACCTTAATTTAAATATACTTTATCACAAAAAAAAATTTTATTGATAAAAAATGTTCACCATCATCTGGCAACACAGGGTTGCCACAAACCTTCATTTTCTTAAAAATGAAAGAGTCTGTGAAGGGCAATAAAGTGCAATGAAGTGAAGTATGTCTGGAGTCACATGACCACATCTAACTGCAAGGGAGGCTAAGAAATGTAGTTTTTTTTGGGTGGTGGCGGGGAGCAGCCATATGGACAGCAATCAATACTATCACAAGGGAAGGAGGGGAAAACAGTCACTGGGGAGCTTGCAGTCTCACTTGCAGATGTGATATGAATTCCTGGGACCCTGCAAGAGGGAGGAGGCAGGAGGGGACTCGTGGATTGAGTGCGTTTCTATTCCTCCTGTATCTCCTGTCATTTCTGCTTTATGAAGCTGTGCTATGGTCTTGGGGCAGAGCTGGTCATAGCTGTAGGTCATCATAGTGGGCTATACCCTTCAGACTGTAAAGTCCCCTTTTTTACTTTCACTTCATGCTTCCTGAATCTGGATGTGAGCAGTGGCCCATTCATTCCTTCATTCAACACGCACTTCCCAAATGCTCACCACATGCCAGGGATTCTGCTAGGGGCTGGGAGTCTGGCCAGGAGCGAGTCACCATCCCTTGGGAGCTCTACTCAAGTTATGAGCAGTCTAGGTGGTGGTTAAGTGGCAAACACCAGTCAGAATGTCTTACTGTCTTTATATCACCTGTTATCAGTGTGCGTGCAGGAGGAAGGCATAGAATTTGTAGCAAAAGGCCTTTCTTTAGGATAAATGCCCAAGAATTCCAATCCTCAGGACTGGTATGAAATCTAGCCCTTAGCCTTCAGTCCCAGTGGCTCCTTTGCTACTTCGCTGGAGGGAAGTCGGGGGAGGACAAGCTAGGGAGGGGCCTCAGTCTAACCGAGAATGTATGTATCCCAGGCACAGACTCTCGCTAAGCTGTGATTTGCAGCATTCCTTGGTAACATCTTGGGTTTGTCACTCATGAGATTTTTCCACTGCTATGTCCCCAGGGAGACTGCAGGACAAGGCTGTGTGTCCCCTTTGCTGTGCCCAGGAAGGAGACCGGGTTGGTGGCAGCTGCGTGCATGTTTCCTGCAGCTGCTCCATCGCTTCTAGGGATCCTGAGGCCTCACGTGGCTACTCATCCAGCTGCCCTCGGTGCCAGGACTTGCTCCCGGGGAAGAGCCATGGAAGCCTCGAGTGGCAGGAGGGCCTGCAGATGGCCAGCCTGAGCCCCAAGTCCCTGCCAAAGTGTGAGCGTCACATGAAGCAGGTCCAGCTGCTCTTCTGCGAGGACCATGGGGAACCCATCTGCCTCATCTGCGGGCTGAGTCAGGAGCACCGAGGCCACCATGTTCGCCCCATCGAGGAGGCCGCCCTGGAATACAAGGTAGGGCTTCCTGCATTGGGGTCCTTCACTTGAACACATCGGGGCTTGCTTCATTTCCCCCAAAACCCTGGGAGTTGGTGCATTGGCCAGCATCTTTGGGCTGTAAATGGCAAACACAATACAAAGTAAGCCAGCAAAGAGGGATTTACTGGTTCATGCAGCTATGGGAATCTAGCTTTAGGTATGGCTGAACCCAGGTGCTCACAAGAGGTCATTAGAAATCTTTCTCACTGCCTCTTGGCTCTGCTTCCTTTGGTGTGATGGATTCATTCTTCCTCTTTCCTGGGTACCTCTCCCTGTGCTCTTGCCTGCCTCACCTTCAGCTTTATTCCCTGAAGCAAGTTTTCCCATCTAGAGTTGGCACCAAGATGGCAGGAGCCAAGTTCAAGCTTTGACAAGTGCTCTTTTTTTCCAGAAACAAATTCAGAAGCAGCTGGAGCATCTGAAGGAGTTGAGAAAATCTGGAGAGGAGCAGAGATCTCACGGGGATAAGAAGACAGCAAACTCCCTGGTAAGGCTAGGGTGGTCTGTGGCCAGTCTTTGCCTGGATTCACCCCTGCAGAAGGAGGGAGGGAACCGAGAGTGAGCAGGGGGTCCCTGATGTCCTGTACTGGTTGAAAGGGAAGCAGAGCCGATCACATAGTTAGAATCACCTGCTCTTGGGGGGCAGGGAATAACAGGTGTCAAAGGATGAGCTTGTCCCTGGGGAGGGAAACCACCTCCAGCAAGAAGTGGCATCTCCCAGGACCCTGTCATGCTTTCTTAGACTCACCACAAAATGGTTTAGAGAAACGAATGCCAGTGGCTGTAGCTGAGGAATGGGATTGAGGAAAGGGGAGGAGAGACTTTTCAACTTTAAATACTCCTCTGTATTGTTTTTATAATTGTTGTGGTCTATTGTACTTTTTTTTGTACAAAAACCATGTTGATTTTTAAAATTCAAATGCTTAAAGTAGACATTTTCTTTAAAACTGTGGTTTTAAAGAAATGCCACAGATCTCAATAAGTACAACTTAGTGGCCTTCCTGTTAAGCTGTTGTCCAGACTCGGATGCGTTAAGTTGCTCCTGTTTTCCCTGCATGCGAAGGAGCCTACCCCCAGAGCCTTGATTTATCTGGTGCATTTCTGTTGGTTGGATCCTGTCTCCCACTCTGAGTTCCAAACTTCTTCAGGGACCCACCACACTGCAGTGGGAAACAGGCAAAGATAACAAAGGGCCGAATGGGAGGAGGGTGGCATTGGTCCAGGTGTCTGACTTTTGGGAAACTCTTGAGTTGTAGTAAAATGAAAACCCTTTCCTATAATCCCAGGTGGCTTGGAACTTGTGGATGGAGCAGAGGTCAGGGGTGCCCCCCCAAGGAGGGTGAGGCAGGAGCCTGGGCTGATCAGGGAAACCCAGGGAGACAAGAGGGTTCAGCCTTCCCTTAAGATACAGTGACACGGGCTCTGTGGAAAGGAGATGCTGTTTTCAGGTCTTTGCCTTCTCCTCCTCCTTTTTTCAATAATTAAAAAAAATTTTTTTAATCATAGGGAAGGGGCTGGGAAAGCTCTTCTTTACAGCAGAAACCCAGATAAAACAAGTATAGAAGAATAATTGAATTAGAAAATGTCCACTATACAATTGACACCGACAGGGATCAGCAACAGATACTAAAATTTTTAGAGAAAATCGTTAGAAAACAGGATATTTACACACTCTCAAAGTACCACTCCCCAAATTACTTAGGAATTATAAAGGAAATAATATATACTTACAGTAGCCATATCTGGTAGACGCTTCCTTAACCAAGCATCAATCCTAGTATGACTATAATGGTGATGGCAAACTGGACAGTCTTTGCCTCCCAGTGGGGTATGCTAGAAAGAGCATGGCATTAGGTCTATGGTATTCTTGCCCCAAATGTTTCTCCTGAATTTAATCATGAGAAAAATTATAGAATTTTAGAATATAAGCCATTGAATGAGACAACTGACCTGTCCTCTTAAAAAAAAAGTCCACGTTACTGCCATCAAGAAGTGTTCCAGACTCCATGTTTAGGAACATCACATTGGAAACTTGAAATTGGCCACGGTGGGAATATCAACACCACAGAAATGGCAAATACCACAGCCCAGCCTTAGCTGATTGTTTTGTTGATTGTCTAGACTTAGAAAGTGTTGGAGAAAGTGTGACTTGTGCAGACCAGATGCACAGGTGCATGTCTGCGGTGCTCCATTCTAAAGACTGAGAGAATACTCTTCCGCACCTGAAACCCAGGACGTGATTCAGCAGGGTTGCTGATGTCACACAGGAAGGAGTGAGATTCCACACACATCGAGTCTATAGTCTTATTCCTTAATTACAAGAAAATACCAAGCAACATCAGAACCACTCTCGTGTGTCGACTAAGGGACTACGGTGGGCGGGGTAACAGGAGCCGGGCAAACATCCACGAAGCATCCTGTGAGGCCCTGGGCTCTCTGGAATTTACACGAGAGTTCTGCCCACTAGTATTTTTTTGTTAATTGTGTGTATCAGTTTAGCTAATAAATGAATGTGCCCATGTTAAAAACAACAACGACAAAAGGTGAAGAAACTTTTTTGGTTCAAAAGAACTAAAGACTTAATCCTGTCCTTTTGAGCCAAAAATGAGATTTCTTCTGTCCAGTCCTAGTAGATCTGAAGGGCCCTCTCCCTCCTTGGAGGAAGGAAATATGCCCTAGAGCCACTTCACATGTCCACAGAAGCTTTTTAGTGATGATGAGAAAGAGGACGGCAGAAGAGGTCGTGGTTGGCCAGTGTGCAAGAATATTGGAAGTCAAGTTCACTTGCGTTCAAATAGATGGACTGACTGACCCCTTTCAGGGCAGTCTGAGACTGTCAGGGAGTGGAGAGAACTCTCCCTCCTGGAGACTTTGTGGTCCTGACCTTGTCTGTTTATGACTCCAGACATATGCAATCCTCAGGCTGCCTTTCAAGGAAGGAAGAAGGTGACACCAGTTATCTTAGTGTTCTGGGGCTGCCCTAACAAAGTACCATAAACTGGGCGGCGTAAACCACAGAAATGTATGCCTCCCACAGTTCTGGAGGCAAGGTGTTGGCAGAGCTGCTTCCTTCTGAGGGCCGTGAGGGAAGGCTGCTCCGAGGCCTCTCTCCTTAGCTTTTAGGTGTCTCCTTCCCACTGTGTCTCTTTACATGGCATTCTCCATGTGTGTGTATCTGTGTCCAAATTTCCCCACTCCAGTGGCCCACCCCACTCCATCACGACCTCATCTTAACTAATTGCATCCTCAATGACCCTGTTTCCAAATAAGATCATATTCTCAGGTACTGGGGTCAGGACTTATAACACATACATTTTGGAGGGGACACAATTCAATCCATTTTACCAGGTTTTAGGGCATTTTCCAAAAGCCAACCTGTTCTGGAAGGTTCCAGTCCATTTTGCCTCCTACTCTGGAATTCAGGCCTCCAAGAGGCTGAGGAAGCCTGCTCTTACCAACCTCCAGGAGGTGGGCTTCTGCGGGTTCCCTGGGCACACACGTCTACCTCACTGCATAGGCCCCTACACCTCCCTGACTTCTGTTCCCCAGAAACAAGCTGAAACCCAGAAGCAGAGAATCCAGTACCAGTTGGAGCAGTTATGCCAGTTTTTAGAGCAGCAAGAGCAGCTCTTTGTGGCCTGTCTGGAGGAGCTGGGCCAGACCATTGGCCAAGTCAGGGAGACATATGGCACCCGGGTGACAAGGGACATCGCCCTTCTCGACAAGCTGATTGGGGAGCTGGAGGCCAAGCAGTGCCAGCCAGAATGGGAGCTTATGAAGGTAAGTGTGGCTGGGCCTGGCCTTCCCCCATCCACTGTGTGCAGTAGGGTGACATGGGCTCCCAGCACTGCCATCAGCTCTGCCCAAACCAGTGGATGAGGCCATTAGGGCCAGGGGTGGGACTTGGTCTTGGTGACCCCACAATGCCCAGGCCCCTTCAATGAATTCTCAGGAGCCCAGGATGGCCCAGTATCTAGGGGATCCTGTGACATCTCCCAGAAGAGATCAGCAGAGTTTGGGTACAGTTATGTGCAGGCCCCAGCCAGGATGCCACCTCAGCAGATTAGAATTAGAACTGGGGAGAGGTGCCCCATTTTTCCTGACACTGTGGGGCTGGGAGCCCAGGAGGAGAGGCCAAGGAGTCAGCACAGCCCCTATGAGACTGGTAATACAGAACTTCCCTCTTTTCTCTCCTAGGACATCAGAGTCACCCTGCACAGGTACCAAGAGGTCCCCTGATGATCCCTTGGGTGTCTTGCAGGAAGCATTTGGGGAGGCAGACCTAGGAGGGAGATGATCCCAACCCGGGGCCTGTGGCTCCTCCCTGGGTCCTCCCATCTCCTGCAGCTTCTGAAGGTGAAGGCCTTTCTGGACTTGTGTAGCAAGAATGGGAGCACAATCAGGAGGGGGAGCATGGGGTCAAAGACTGGACCAAATGAACATGGCCTGTTGTGTGGTGGTGGCTTCATAAGAAACCCCCCTAACAGACTGTGTCCCATGCAATTCGCCTTATGAAAACTGTTCCTGCAGGAGTGCTTGTGGCCACAGCGAGGGAAGCACTTTCCAGGAGTGGATCTGCTAAGCCCAGCAAGCAGGGGAAGGGAGGGAAGAGTAGGGGAGGAAAGGGGAGGGGAGGGGAGGGAAGGGGAGGGGAAGAGGCTGGACCTTCCAATCGCCTGGGGGAGCTTTACAAAATCCTGACATCCAGGTCCCGGCAGACAAATTAAACCTGAATCTTCAGGAGTACAACCCAGGCATCAATTTTTTAAAGTATTTTTTTGGTGGTAAAATATACATAACAAAATTTACCATTTAAAAATGTACAGTTCAGGACTTCCCTGGTGGCACAGTGGTTGAGAGTCCGCCTGCTGATGCAGGGAACACGGGTTCGTGCCCCGGAACCGGAAGATCCCACATGCCGCAGAGCGGCTAGGCCCGTGAGCCATGGCCACTGAGCCTGCGCATCTGGAGCCTGTGCTCCACAACGGAAGAGGCCACAACAGTGAGAGGCCCACATACCGCAAAAAAAAAAAAAAAAAAAAGTACAGTTCAGTGGCTTTAAGTACATTTGCATTGTTGTGCAACCATCACCATGATCCATCCCCAGAATTTTCTCATCTTCCCAAATGGAAACTCCATACCATTAAACAACTCCCAAATCTCCCCTCCTCCAACCCTTGGCAACCACCATTCTACTGTCTATATGAATCTGACTACTCTAACTACATCATATAAGTGGAATCATACAATATTTGTGTTTTTGTGTCTGACCTACCTCACTGAGCATAATGTCTTCAAGGTTCATTCATGTTGTAAAATGTGCCAGAATTCCATTCCTTTTTAAGGCTGAATAATATTCCATCATGTGTATATACATTTTGTTTATCTATTCATCCATCCGTGGATACTAGGCTGCTTCTACCTTTTGGCTACTGTGAATGATGCTGCTATGAATATTGGCATACCTATATTTGTTTGAGTCCTGCTTTCACTTCTTTTGGGTATATCCCCAGAAGTGGAATTGCTGTATCATACAGTAATTCTATGTTTAGGTTTTTGAGGAACTAGAGTACTATCTCCTGTGGTGTCTGCACCATTTTACATTCCCACCAGCAATGCTCAAGGGTTCCAATTTCTCTATATCCTTGCTAATACTTGTTATTTTTTATTTTTTTAAAATAGTAGCCATCCTAATGGCTGTGAAGTGGTATCTCATTGTGTTTATTTTTCTCACTTAATATCATTTTTATTTCAATAGAAAGAAAAAGACTCAGGGAAGTGTAATTAATTTGACATAAGTAATTCTGGGCTGAGCATTTCAACATCAGTACCACTTTAGGGCCATTATCAAAACTCACTGTGATTTTGATACCAGTGGTTTTTAAAACTCCCCCAGGTGATGCCAATCCATGGCCAGAGTTGAGGACCAGTGTTTAGAACTTGAAGCCCAGGGAGAACTTTCTTTGAGAAGCCAAGGCTGGACTGGGTGTGCCCTGTGGAGGCTGCACCTCCCTTCCAGCTCATGAGACCCTGAGCTACCCCCATGCTCCAGTCCTCCTTGGCCAACAATCTTTTGTCTCTAGGGCCAAGAAGGTGACTGTCCCTGAGCTGTGGGCCACCCCTCCAGAGGTGAAAGAAAAGATCCACCTGCTCTACCAGAAATCAGAGTTTGTGGAGAAGCGCATGAGGCACTTCTTGGGTAGGTGGGCTTGTGGGAAGATGGGAGGCGCCTGCTCACATCCTCCCTGAAAGCCACGTAGCCTGGAGCCCCCTGGTGTCCCTTCTCCATCCCCCACAGCCTTTCTGACTCTGCCTTCAGCCCCTCCCAGACCTGTCCCTATCTGGGAACCTAACTCAAACTCCTTCTCCTTTTAGAAACCCTGCGTTCAGAAATGGAAATGTTCAACGGTGAGTCCGGTGGTGGTAGTATGTGTTGGCCAGGGATTACTGCAATTTTCCCTTGTGCTGTTGATTTCTGGGAATTATTTAGAAAAGAGAAAACACCTGTAACAAAGGTGGGAGCAAAGTCATGACAAGTCCTCACAGGCTCTGTGCCAGGGTCACTGACTGTCAACTCACCAGAGTACAGAGTATCCAAGGCAGGCCTGGGTACCAGAGAGGAATGGGGTTATATCCAAGCAGAGGAAGCCGAGTCCTGAGCAGGGAGAGGGAGTCACTGTCTTTCCTTGTTGTGGGGACCAGGGTAGATTTAGCCCTTTGAATGGGAATGCTCAGGATTTTTCCCATCTCCTTTTCTCTGTAGTTCCAGAACCGATTGGTGGTCAGGCACCCTGAGGCAAGTAGACTTGGCCTGCTGGGTCCCTGTGCTGTCCCCCAGTGCATTCCAGAAGAATGACCCTGTCCACGTTTCTCGGATGTGGGGAGAACCCTGTGGGGGTGTTGCCCATGGACCTCAAGCTAGGAATTCTAATTCTCTCTGCAGTTAATGTGATTCTGGAAGCAGAAGCTGCCCACCCCAACCTCATCTTTCATCTTCTCTGATGACTTGAAGAGTGTGAGACTTGGAAAAAAAGTGGGACCATCTACCTGCTAGTCCAGAAAGATTCTATAGCTGAATCATTGCCCTGGCCTCTCTGAGTTTGCTCTCTAGCTGCCATTACTGAGAAGTGAAGGTGGGAGACAAGACAGGGTGGGTCCTGGGTGTCTGCAAGGCAGCCACGAGCAGCAAGGAGAATATGGCTCTCTCACCAGAGAATAGTTATTGGGTAGAAATGATGATGAAGTAAAATTAATGCCAGACGTCCAACTTTCCCTCCACCCGGATGAGGGAGCCCCCCAGGCATGTGGGCATCTTCCTGAACTACAAGACTGGGGACATTTCCTTTTATACTGTGACAGCCAAATCCCACATCTCAACATCCATTGTCTTCTTTTCCTCTGGGCCCCTTCAACCTATCTTCAGCCCCAGGACACATGATGGAGAGAACATGGATCCTCCGAATATCCATCCAGTGGGTGGCCAGGGGCCTCACTGAATATCCAACACTTTGCATCTTTCTTCAGGCTCCTGCCCTGTATCTTGAATCCATACATTCAATGATCATTATTGAACACCTACTGGGTTCCAGCTGCTGTGGGGAATATAATCAATAAGAGAATAGGCCCTGTGCTCAAGGAGCCTATGGAACAGAAGCAGAAGTAAGCTGGGTAAACAAATATTGGTAAACCAAGGGTAAAGAGAACACATGTATTGATGACATGCCATGGATTTCAGAGAAGGAAGCACACAGCTGTTGCTTAATAAATCCTTGTATGAATTAGCACCCTAAGATGCTCCTGAGACAGAGAGCCCACCTTCGTTTTCCCTCAGGACTCCATGGCAAGGATGTGTTCCCTCATTCTATCCTCCCTTTTTTTTTAATAAATAAAATTATTTATGAATAATAACATCATAGAGCTTACATAGATGATCATTAACCATAACTTTTTAATTTTACAAATGAGAGTTTTGAGGCCTGGAATTAATGCATTTTGTTCATTTACTTATTTTTCTACCAGTGTTTGGGGACTGATTTTGGGCTAAAAGCAGCACCAGTTGCTGAGATTACAGAGAGAGCAAGATAAAACTTCTACCTTTTAGTGAAAACCTTAACTGTAGTAAGGATCTGAACAGTAAATGTATAAGCCCAGAGCAACATAGGTACTAATATATAAATATATATTGGAACAATATGTGAGCATATTACAAGTAGTAACTGAATAGAGGATTCTGAGAGAATTTCACAGAGTACTTTAAGTGAGTCTTAATGACTAAGAATTATTTTGAAAAGGAGTGGTGAAAAGGCATTTTAAGTGAAAAATGGCATATGAAGTGTCACAATATGAAGCACCATGAGACTGACAATTTGAAGTGCTTGATGGGTTTTTGATGGTATGTCAGTGTGGTATGAGAATGGAAACTCAAGACTCATATTGTCAAGAGCCTTATGCACTATGCATAGGAATTTGGACTTCATTGTGCTGTCAGGGAGAGCTAGTAAAGTGTTTCAGGGCAGGCAAATAGAGGTTAAGTGGCTTGTTATCATTCACAGGAAGTAGAGTTAAAGTCATGGTTGAAATCCAATGTTCTTGTTCTTATTAACAAGTAGACTATAATAAGAGTGTAATATATGATAATAATATTTATTATACATTTACTATGTGCTTAGTTCCATGTTTTTATTTTAGTTAATCATCACCATAAAGCTATGGAATAGAGAAGAATTCTGCCTAGAATGACTTGCTGATTATAAGTAGGAAAGAATACTTTTGAGCTACTACGCTTTGATCTTTGACCAAACCCTGTATATGTCTGCAGTTTCTATTTGCCTGAGAGCTGGAAGAGTGAGTAAAAACAGCTATACCTTTATCACTTCAGGAAACTCAGCGATTATTTTGTGAATTTGTAACAAAACCCATTAAACTATCAAGACTTCTCAGCTAGATTAAAGTAGGTGGTAAGGGAAACAAAATCGTTTATGGACAGAAAAAGACGTTGAAAAAAATCCCATGAACGCCTTCAGTAAGTCATTACATAGACGAAAACCATGCCGATGTCAGTCCATATCATGCTGGAGCCACCACAGAGCATCAGAGTTTAGGGTACAGGGATGCAGGAAGAGAATGTCGGCCTACAGGGCAACAATGAAAGATTTTAGTATCCACCGAGGAGACAGGATGAACCATTTTGAGACTCTGCCAGGGGTAGGAGGGCTTTTATAGGGTGAGATTAAGACGACTTTGCTTGTATTGTTTTCTCTAGTGGGTGTCTAAACTACTATTAATAAGATCCATAGTTTTGGTTGTATTCTCCAAGGTTGCAGTGGAAATCAGAAAGCTATAAGACAGTTGAGTCTGGCTAAGTAAGAAAATTACCAATTATACTCAGAAAAGAGGAAGCAGTATGAGACCATTAGTTAAATGCTACAAATATGACTTCCTTTAGTTGAGCATTTCTATTTCATTTATTGTTAAAAATGTCTTTTGAAGTCTCAAGATGAAAAATCACTTAGAAGCAGAAATTTTTAGGGCTTCCCTAGTGGCGCAGTGGTTGAAAACCCGCCTGCCAATGCAGGGGACACAGGTTAAAGCCCTGGTCCGGGAAGATCCCACATGCCACGGAGCAACTAAGCCTGTGCGCCACAACTACTGAGCCTGCGCTCTAGAGCCTGCAAGCCACAACTTCTGAAGCCCATGCGCCTAGAGTCCGTGCTCCGCAACAAGAGAAGCCACCGCAATGAGAAGCCCGTGCACTGCAAAGAAGAGTAGCCCCCACTCACCACAACTAGAGAAAAGCCCTCACGCAGCAACGAAGACCCGACACAGTCAAAAATAAATTAATTAATTAATTAAAAAAAACACTTTAAAAAAGAAATCATTTTTAACAGAGTCAATGATTAAGCCTGCAGGTACTAACAAAGCCTTTTGTTACAAAGAGTCTGGTATATAAGATGGTATTCTCTGTAGTATATTTTTTTCTATAGATCTAAAGGACTAATCATTTCAGCAAAGGCTGGAACTCTAAAGGACTAGAATTTGTTTTGATCATATATTGCATTACTGTTAAATGCCCACGCGATAAAAGTTATCCATTCTGTGTTCCTGGAATATTAAATTGATGGAAGAATTGTGAATTTTCGTAGAATGTTCATCTGTTTGATGTTACACTGTCCGGTGTGTGCACTTAAAAGTGACCTTCTGTGCACTCACATTATGGATACTGCCCAGTAATATTCTGTTTGCTTAGAGGGATGAAGGATGACACCACTATATGCTCCTAGTTTTTTTTTTTAACTTTTTTTTTAATACATTTATTTATTTATGGCTGCATTGAGTCTTCGTTGCTGCACACAGACTTTCTCTAGTTGCGGCAAGTGGGGGCTACTGTTTGTTGTGGTGCACGGGCTTCTTATTGCAGTGGCTTCTCTTGTTGCGGAGCATGGGCTCTAGGCACATGGGCTTCAGTAGTTGTGGCATGCAGGCTCGTAGTTGTGGCTCGTGGGCTCTAGAGTGCACGCTCAGTAGTTGTGGTGCATGGGCTTAGTTGCTTCATGGTATGTGGAGTCTTCCCGGACCAGGGCTGGAACCCGTGTCCCCTGCATTGGTAGGCGGATTCTTAACCACTGTGCCACCAGGGAAGTTCCTATATGCTCCTAGTTTTTCTCCAGGTTTCTCCTGTTTTTCTGGAACTGGGGGTTAGTGCACTGGGTTAACCCAATTCCGGTCTTTCAACATTTTCCTGTTGGCAGGCTATAATCAGAGTCAACCTGCCTGCATCTCCAAAAACTGCTCTGACTATCCTCACCTCCCAAAGGAACAGAAACAAGACACTTTAGGGTTTTGAGGATTTTATACAATTCACCTATCAAGTTTCTATCGATAGAGCTACTACCTAGCTAGTGAGCTAGTCTTTGAGGAGCTGCCTTGTTAGAACTTCAGGGATATTATACTAAATGGCTAAGACAAATCACTTGGAAAAATATCCTTAACACATAATTTTATGGCCAGACTAAATATCTGTTCTATGAATAGTCCGAAGGAGATAAGACAGTGGGGAGAGGAAGATTAGAGAAAGAATGAGAGATGAAACAAAGGGAGACAGAGAGGAAGTTTAAATCAAGTTGATTTATGGGATATCCTCCCTGTCTTGAGGACTTAGGAAGTCTTAGGAAAAAACAAGCAGACTGGATTATTATAATACACTTTTGTACCTGTATTAATGAACTGTGGTTCTTAGAATTATTGGCTGGGCCCCATAAATAAGTCCATTAGAAAATGCAGTTGTAACTGCATTTGTTGTCACTCAGTTGATTACTGTGAGATCCCACTTCCCTACAGGAGACCAAGAAAAAGATGGGGCTGCTGTCATGGAAAAACATTTGACACACATCCGAAGTGTCACATTATTCTGTACTGAGCTGTATCTGCAAATCTGTGGGCCTGTGGAATATTAGGTGTTCTAGTTCACAGATGTCCCTCTATCATCCTCCATTTAAAGAGACATAAAGAGAGGGGGGAGGGAGAGGGATGGACTAGGAGTTTGGGGTTAGTAGATGCAAACTATTACATTTAGAATGGATAAAAAACAAGGTCCTACTGTATAGCACAGGGAACTATATCCAATCTCCTGGGATAAACCATAATGGAAAAGAATATTTAAAAAAAGAATATATATGTGTATAACTGAGTCACATTGCTGTACAGCAGAAATTAGCACAACAGTGTAAATCAACTATACTTCAATTTAAAAAATTATCACATACACACACAAAAAAATAAAGAGTCATAGAAAGGGA